AGTACGGGCAATTACTGGGAGATGAATAAAGCAGAAATTAATAAAATATTGTATTTAGAGAAGAGAGGTATTCTAGATAGAGCCTTGAGCTGTAGATACACGATGATAACTTTTATATACAACATCTGTAAACTCAGATATATTAATAATTGTTGGTAAATTGTTGGTACAGGTTCTGGTATTTGTCAAGGTTTAGATAGATTTGTTCTACTTTTCTCTTCATCTATTATCATTCTATTTTACACTTCCACCCTCTACAGTATATTTCAGCATAGCACTGTGTACATTCTGTCACTTGTTCCACTCTCACCAAAATTTTCACTTTTTGTCTGCTATCTCCTCTTGCCTATAACACTTAATTTTTTTTTAAAAAAAGCACTGGTTTGTTCTTTTTAGAAATGGCTTTATCTCAGTGCTTTTTTTTCTTTAAATTTCTTTGTTGTGGTTGACTAGATAGAGATCGCGTTCTGCCTGTTTTGAGCACCCGGTTTGAGCCCATTTGCACTGTACGAGTGTGAGTGTGCCCGATAGATATATTCGTCACGTGAGTCTGATAAGAAAATTTCGGTGCACCTTTCGGCTGCGATGTGTCCTTAGATAAAGCACGTGACGAATATATTTATCGGCCGCACTCGTAATACCAGTACCATCAAGCACAGAATTGAATCATATAGAGGCCCCAATTATTCATTCCTCTTTAAAACTTCGCAAAAGGAGGGTTCGGGGAGCGGATCTAAACGGGGGTTCCTTTTCGGTATTTTCTTTCTTACTTTTTTTTTTACAGCCAGACTCGCTATCGCCTTTCGCATCACCCCTTCATGCGGTTAGAATCCTCCCGCACGGATCGCGAGCTGGAACGCTAGCATATTACAGCAACCGGGATAGAAAAAAAACACAGGACCGGGTAAAGACCTAGCGTTCAGAATGCTTACAATATCTGTACTGATTATCATGACAAGTGACGGAAACGACTGAAAGTACTAGAGCATTGGTAGGGTTCCCGGAGCAGACGAGGCCACGACTGCCCGAACTGGCTCGCGTTGTAGGTTTCAATCCAGGTTGGAAAGTCTCACAGGTTTGTTGCAAGGGGGGGTAGACAGTCTGCGCAGTTATGATAGCTATGATAAGAAAAAAAACAAAATAGGGGACTGTGGGTGCCAAGGGCATAATACAGTCGCACCCCGCTATCCCGGATGGCCAAAATCCGAAGAATCTGTCCGGAACAGCGAGGGATCCGGGACAACGGGTGAGGTTTTGGTGGAAATAAATCCAAAGCTCACAGAAATTCATACGGGACAGCGAGGTATCCGGATTATCTTCAAATATTCAATTCGTAAACACTAGACTCCACCCTAAGGGTATATGCGCCTAAACAGCATTGCGTCCAAGTGGCAAGCCAACACCACCTTCCAATCCACACAACTCATATAAAACACTACCGGGCCCGAAGCCTCCCGCATCCCTCCTCCCAAACATAAATCCAAAATCACTACCATGAGTCTCACAGGCGCTCACAACGATCAACGTTGTCCTGGATTAACGCGTCTTACTCACTCGCAATTCCTCCTCCAAAATCACACCCTCAACCCGTGCAACAAATTGATCCACCCAAACAAAAAACTCCCGTTCCAACTTGGCCCAGCAGTCCCTATAACTCCAGAAATGGTAGCCAATATCGCGTTTCCATTCCGACCCACACCACCTACACGACGTCCCCAGGTAGCCATACTGACATCCCCACCACAAGACTGTCCGTGTCTGGTATGCTATATCCCACCCATCCCAAGATCCGGCAATCCCATCCCAAAATTGGTAGTGCCACTTAAGCCGGAAACTAGGTGCGCGTACAAAGTGTGTTCGAATCGGGTGGTACTTGGCTTTCAGTTCGGAGCCACATACCCCACAATTGGTAAAGTCATCGTGGAGCATAAAGGGGAAGGACACCCTCGCCCTCCCAGACACTGGTCTCAGACACCTCCTCGATGTATTAGGCATCTGATGTTCATCCAGGCACCATCCGCACTGTTGGTAGCCAACAACAGACACCCGTCCAGCCCCAAACAGCATACCGGAGAATGGATTCCCGGCCACAATTCGAATATCACCTGTCTGGATGTGTCCAGGCGGGATTCCCAATCCCAAGTAGTCATGCCGGAGCCACCATTCCTTCCACCTCGAGATATCATTATCATTGAACAGAGTTGAATGCGCGGGTCGGCCAGCAATGGTCAGCCAACAGTCGGTTAAGTGGAACCTTTCATCACCTGTATCGCATTCGTCATGTCCAACCATACCTGCACCCGAGCGAATTCGGATGAGGACGTACATGTCCATACGGGACAGCGAGGTATCCGGATTATCGAGATCCGGGATAGCGGGGTGTGACTGTATTTGGTCTCTAAGACCGGAAAAACTGTCTAACCCGGCACCGTTTATCTATATTCTCCTCAATAACCTACAGCCCACCAATGACTGTGCCAATAATTGAAAAGACAATTAGAATAGGGGAAGCAGATAGTTGTTCTGCTTCAATTTTTATTCTAGTTGATGATTTCTACGGAGGTACGGTACAGCTCTGCAGTTTTGTATGTTCCACAAGCAAGGGGTATTCGGCTGGCGGGGCACTTATTGCGAATTAGGAAAGTTTTTGCACGGATTAGGAAACTTTCACTGGAAATTACCTAATTCGGCTCCTATACCCTCGCTAGCCCCACACACCCTGCTTGTAGAACATACAAAACATAGGAGCTGTACCTCCGTATTTCCTAGGTTCGCTTGCTGGCTCTTTGCAGGAGCTCCCCGAAATCTTGGCGTTGACTAGCCCTAAATTGTGCCGAGGTTTCCGGAATTCTTTTGCGATGCACAGGAATGGCATTCATATCATGGGTTTTTTTCACGAATTTCTGGGTGTATGGGTGTTGAGTTGCGGGTTACCGGTATGGGGAATTTCTGCAGCAGGCAATTGTAGGGCGTGGTATGATACGAGTAGGAGTGGCTGACAAGCTTACCCCTCAATGGGGTCTCAAAATCCGAACGTTTTCTCGCCAACTCTGGTTTGGTTGGTGGAAATGCATGTCTGTGAAACGCGAATCATGCAACCGGGTGGGTAGGCAGGATGCCAGATGCTAAAGTACTAGCCGTTTCTCAAAGTCTCGGGAATGTAGGTGACGGTCCAAGTTATACAAATGGCCCACTTACACATGGGCCTCCTACTTGGCCATGTATAAAGTATTCGGACTCCTTGGCATTATCAACACCTGTCTGGATGCCAAGCGTCCGAAGACTTTCTAAATCGCCAAGTAGACTTTTCATGCGAGTGCGATTGAGTACTTCCACCATTGCTGGGGAAACGCTTACCCCACAGGCTGGATACTTTACACCGAGCCATCCCGGAGACTTTAAAAAACGGCTACCGGTACGGTAGTACGGGTGGTTTTGTTAAATGAAAAAAGTCTGTGAAACTCTTGGCACAGAGCTGAGGCAACCGCATCCTCGGGGTAGCCAAGGGAACGCCAGGAGCCAACCAGACGGGGTTCAACCGGCTTACTACACAATACTGGTATCACCAGGAAATGTATCATAAATGGAAACATCATACCATGCTTGTGCATGCCATACCTTCCTTGGATAGGGCACCCACGGGGGGCATTACCTGGTAGGCGAACAGGTCTTTTCGCTCCTACTTGTAGAATAGCCAAGATCACTAAAATAATCGCAGAGAAATTCGAAAATGAAGCCTCTAGATATATTCTTCCTACCTTTCCACAATTTTTGATTGATGAACCGAGTCCCGGGGTCTGGGCCTTGGCAAATTTTGTTTTAATTCTTGACTCAGCAAATGCACCGCTGTATCATACTCGGTACTTGAGTACAGTAGGACTGGATGGGCACGGAAGTCTTTCCTGGCTGTAGTGAGTCTTTGCGAAAGATCACTAAAGTAGAGGAAATTAGAAAGGGAAACGGAAAAAAGTGAAAGACAAATGCAAAAAATGGTTGGAATTTTTAGTCGACTTAAAAACGGTAATGCTCAGGTATGTCTTCCCCACAATGGTATTTAAAATGCTGTTGCTCGGTCCATGGTACTGTAAAATCTTTTGGAAATTCGGCTGTCCTGGCATTAAGACCCAATGAGAGAAGGGCCATGCCCTGCATACCCAATTTGCCAACAAACCAACCCCATGCGAGCAGCAGAGAAAAACTAAATGTGTGATGGGTGGAATTTTTCTCTGGTATTTGATTTCGCATGAATTTATTGTATGGTGCTGTACCTATTCTGTAACAGGTCTCCATCCAATAGCTTTTTTGTATTGCGAATTGTGTCAGCGAGCGCTGCCAAGCCAGCCGATATTTCAAAATTTTACGGTATTGAAAAGACTTACCATGTTTATCTTACTTGCAATATTCGGCTTGGGGAGGCATTCTTGGCAGGGACACATGAGAAACAAGTCGGAACTTTCCAGTAGGGCCTACCGGTATCGTACAAGTACTTGTACGAGTACTGTAAAAACTCGAAAAAGTCGGTATGCAGGACCACAGATTGTCGCACTCTAATTGGCCGGCACAAGGGGTCCTGGCCAGAGGTTTACCCCGCGATTGGCCACAATCCTTGCACGATGGCCTTGGCTGCATACCGAGTTTTTACGGGTGCTCGAGTACTCGAGTACAGGGATTCCAACCATCCACCCCCCCCATAAACCCCCTTATAAACCCCCCCCAGCCTTCGCTTCTCTGCTAATATATACCGGAGTACTGTACATGTGCCGGTAGGAACTGGTATGATACCTATTGGGTCACCTTATTTTTTTTTTTCCGTACTGAGAGATAATGAATACCGTATCACATCTTTGCTGCTAAATTGGCTGCTCTTTGCTTGACCCACCCCCACCCCCACCCCCACCACTCGGTTCGGTCGCTCTCGCTTTGCGTTTTTTCTTTTTTTCTTTTTTTTGGTCGAATCCAGAGTTCACCCAAGTACGGTATTAGAGAGCCTAAAATTCGAACACATGGCGAAGGTTTACCCGGATTTGATTGAGAGGTATAAACTCGAAGCAGAATTATTTCCCGATCATGTCTCACACGCGAGATATATGGAGAACGCGAAAAATGGGGATGCGAGAGTGAAGGAGGATTGGAACAATTGTGGCGAACTCGGCAAGGGAAGTTTTGGTGTCGTACATAAGCAGATCCAGAAAACTACGGGCCACTACCGTGCGGTAAAGACGATTGATAAGAGACTGCCCAACCTCGATTATTCTAGGGAGCTCCTCGCGATGGCCATATTGGCAAAGGTTCGTAGTCTCACTCCAGTGGGGCTCTGCCCCAGTTTACCACCCCTCAAGCATTTTCTTGTTGCGGTCTAACCGTCCACTATTTTAGCATCCGTCACAATTCGTGGAATTCCTGGGATGGTTCGAGGAACCCGAGACTCTATATATTGCGATGGAATATCTCGAGGAAGGCGATCTTAGAAACCATAGCCGCACACCGCTACCACAAGAAACCGTTCGAACAATTTCGAAACAGTTACTCCAGGGTCTCAAAGTGATGCATCAAGAGGGAATAGCTCATCGGGATTTAAAGCCCGAGGTATAATCCTTGCCACCAAGCGCATCGCTTTACAATATTGAATCGCAGAATGCTGACGAATGCATAGAACATTTTTGTAGTTTCCATGTCTCCGGTCTGGGTCAAACTGGGAGATTTCGGGATATCGAAGTGGATCCCTGCTGAAGCTACCACCACCTTCCACACCCAGGTGTCAACGCCAATTTACAGCGCTCCTGAAGTTCTAGGGTTGGATTCCCATAGCGAAACCTCGGACTATACGAATTCTGTTGATATTTGGTCACTCGGGTGTGTGATATATGAGTTACTTGTGGGAAAAAGGTTATTCGTCTCGGAGAGTCAAGTATTCCGCTACTACTTGGGAGGCTGGCACTTTCCCGAAGGTGAACTAAAAGGGTTATCGCCTCCAACAAACAACGTCGGAATTTCATTGCTGAAATCCATGCTCACAATACAACCCGAGAATCGCCCTACTGCGGCGGGTGCGCTGGGCCATGCGTGGTTGATGGGCCTTAAGGGTGACAATAAAGCTAGCAGAGACGACCAGGATGAAACGACACAAAGTCGGGACGAGAGCTCCCAGAGCAGGAAGGGCGAAAAGAAACTAGATATGCATGAAAAACCGGAGAAAAGGAGAAAGATAAAAAACCCGGTTGCCCAGGACGACACAAAGTGCACCCCCGGGGATACGGCTTTAGCGGCAAATCCTGGGTCGCAAAGCGGCACCCATCCTACTTCCCCGAAATCTGCAATTAGCAGTTCTGCGATGACAATACCAGTTACACCCTCAGATGAGGGCGCACCGATCCAGACGGGGTCCCTTGAATCAGAATTGATGCCACACGATTTCCGGGAAATTTATCCCAAGCGCCCCAAGGCGTCGAGGAGGAGACAGATCCGCAGCATTCAGCAAAAATGTCCCCAAAGTAGCACCCCACATAACAAACACAACCCATACATGATACGTGTTGCTAACCATAATTGGTCGCTGAATCCTAGACCTCCCCCAAGCGATTTCCCAGCGCCGAATCAAATCCTGGAGACAAATAACCAGATGGAACACACCCCAAAGCTCAATTCTCGCGCCGTCATTCTTGATTCGGCCGAAACAAATTTTGCGCACCAGTGGACCTGCCCTGCCTAGAACAGCAAGTTCGGATCAAGTCATTCGGAAACTTCAGAGGACGAAGTCTCACGGAATTCCGCCCCTAACACCTACGGTAGGGGAGAAGACGGAAATCAAAATGCCACGACAGTCGGCCCAATACAAAGTCCCAACACCGGAGGAAAGCATAACACCTGACCGAACCTTATTGCTGGCCGGAATACTAATTCTGGCCACAGTCCTAAGCGGATCTCTCGTTCTCGCTGGGATCCTAATGCTGGTGGGAATCCTAAGCAGAACCCTAATGTTGCTTGAAGCCCCAACACCGGATGGAATCGAGATCTCGGACGGGACTCGAACGGTTAGTGGGCGAGAACGGACCAGATTGAAGAAACGATACCGGCGACGGAGGGGAAGGGTACAATGGAAATCGGAGAAATAGATTGCGTATTAAGCAAGGCGTAATTGTGAAGCGGTGGGAGAATTTTGGGCTATGCTCCTGCTTAATCAGTCATGATTTTACTACCACTGTACTCGCAGTCTCTGTACCGAGTTTTGGTTTATGACACCCGAGAGGACTTCCCTCGGTTGTGGGATTATGGAGTGTTGGTAGGTTGGGATTGCATGGCTCGCGCTTTGCCTTTAAAACGGATTTCTTTATAGCTTCTATAGGAGTTATGTTTCTGTGCTGGAGGATTAAAGGTTTGCAGGTTTACGGGAAAATAAGCGTTGGCTAGGTGTACTGTAAGAAAATTTTATCAGCCAAATTCATGGGAAGAATTATTTTGTTCCGTCCGCCACCAACTCTGCAGTTGAAAATTCAAGAGAGAAGTATTATACTCCTGTGTATCTCCTCTCTGGACCTTTTTATGAAGTTAACTTACATTTCACCGGCTTGCCTATGGAGGAATGGATTTTTTTTCTTGACTGCCGCATTCGATATGTGTAATTGCGGGCCTTGAACTGAATCGAACTGGTACAATGTAATCCAAATTTACTGATAGAAAAGGACCTGAAAATAGGAGGCTAGTCGTTCGGCTCCTCTGAGGGGTGGGAAAACAAGAAAGTATCGGACCCTTCGAGACGCTGCAACTCCATCGGAATAGTTTTCGGTTCGATTATTGGGGATTATGCAACAGAGGGGGGGGGACTTCTGGAGGCGCAGCTAGCCAAGTGGAAGCCGCACGCACCTACCGCCGTACTGACTTCCGAGAACCATTATTATCGAGTGTCCCCACGCCCTGGGCGGTATCGTACCACAACGGCCGGGATGGACGGATATCCGCCACGGCACCAACGCCGATTGGTTCAAGTCCACATCCCTGTTCAAAACGAACCCACCTTGCCACCTAGCTCTTCCGCTAGGTGAACTTTTGTTACGGTGGCTGGGATTGACCACCCGAGCCAAATATTCTCAGTTTGTGCATTTCCCAACCGCAAACAGCCCGTAATTTCGGTCCCTGGAATGCCAACACTCCCTATCGTTTTTGATACAGGTCTAATGAATCTAAGCGCCCTCCCTATCCGTCCTTTGTTAAGGCCTAGATGGGGTAGATACTATATCGACCGTCCGAAACCTCTGTCTAGGATAGACGGGCGGGCATTGGAGGGCCCCATAAGTCACAACAGACTCTATACGGGGCAGCGCTGGTTAAAATTGTTAAGTTGAAGATACGTGCCAAGTACTTTTGGCTGTGGTCCCTAGTTAGTTGAGTCTCCTAGGCACTCGGGCTCGATTCCCCTTGAGAACAGTGCGAGTAATTCCTCGAGAAAATAATTGTAGGCACCCTGTCTGGAGTGGGCGAGGATGGGGGGTGAAGGCCGGGTATGGTTATACCGCCCCCACTGCCTCTTTCGTTGGGGAGGGAGGTTACGGGCTTCCCCGGCTTTCCCGGGATGGAGGCGGCGGGGGAGCCGCGTGAGGGGAGTCAAAGAGCCACATGAAAAATTGAGACTATCATAATAGCCGGTTCCCCTCCTATTTCGCTTCGCTCATAGTCGGGAAAAGCAAGTGCAACGTAAAAGCAAGTGCAACGCAATACAAATTTTTTCTTTTTTTTTAAACTGATGTACATAATATGAGTTATCAACCACATATTTTTCTTACTTAATTACATGCATGCAATTCTTTTCAACCACTATAACGTGAAAACCATACCAAATCAGCACTGACAATGACTGACATATTCCAAAAGCTTGAAGCCAAGCAACAACTAAATCAAGCTCTCAAATGGTTAGAGAAGGAGCCAACTGAATCAGCCAGTACAGCAGCACAACTATTCAATATCAATACTACCTCAACCTGGTCATGCCAGCTCCGGTATCGCAAGCAAGTATGAAATTCCCCCAGAATCTTCAACCAGTATAGCATGGTGAAAATTATTTGATCTTGACCAAAGCCTAAGAGAAAGCACGGTGATAGACTCCCAAGAGGAAATAAGGGAGGTACCTTAATTGTTGAGAGTGATAATTAGGACTTGGCTGAAGAATCAGATTCTGGTTTTTCTTGCATATCATATGATTCAATTGCAAGAAATGCTGATTTTGTGGGCTTAGATTGAAATAATTTGTCTTCAGTGGAGGGTATAGATAAAAGGTTGATAACTCATATTATGTACATCAGTTTTTTTTTTAAAAAGAATTTTGTAGTGTGTTGCACTTGCTTTTGCGTTGCACTTGCTTTTCCCGACTATGAGCGAAGTGAAATAGGAGGGGAACCGGCTATTACACCCTTGCTCGATTCCCGGATATGCTCAATCCTAGGCCCTGACGGGAACTTATTCAGCTGCCCGTGGGCCACTGAGGTGGTGATCAAATTCCCTGTCTGCCTTGGTAGGACCACGAAAAAAAAATTCCCCTTGATCCAGATTTTTGGGTACTATCATGTTGGTCTAATACCCTGTCTTGTAGTATTTGGATCGTGTTTCTAGGAGGTGTCGTCATATCCGGGTTTAATACTTTTCAAATTTTTAAGCTTTTCCACCCCTGCTGCACATTCTACCAAGCGCAGTACCGGTAGCCGGGACAGGCGACAGGTGTCCTGCGTGTGGGGCGCTGGTGCTAAACTACCGTATTATGATATGGGGGGCAACTGATGCAGGGTACACAAGATTTTCAAAAGGGGGTGGTAGGCGGATATCGATATTAGGGGAGTACCGCAAAGACTCGCCAAACTCGCTATGCAGGTAGAAGAATTTAGGCACTAATGCGTGGAGATACAGCCAAGATCATTCTGGTGACTAATCTATTTTCTCTTAGCTGATGAGACCAGCATCATTATTACAGTATTTTATGTAGATAGCGGCACCGGTATACTCGAGTACACCTATTCTCAGGTGTTATTGTCATTTTCCGTCATTTCTCAGGGTAAAAAAGCTCCTATCCAATCCCTAGCGCCAATACCTGCATGGCGAGTTTGGCGAGTTTGGCGAGTTTTTGCGGTATCGCTAATTATTGAGAAAATCAACCCAATCAGCTGAATGCCGGGTGAGTGAGGCAACGCGTCCCACATACCGGTATGATACCTGTAATACCATTAGCGCCAAGAACAAAATTGAATCGCGTAGGTACTCCATTTATTTATTCCTCTCTGGAACTTCAGGGGAGGAGGGGTTCCGGGAGTGGATCTAGGCTGGGTTTCGTTTCCGGTATTTTTTTTTCTTTTACCGCCAAACTCCCTACCCTATCGCCTTTCGCATCGCCCCTTCGCACGGTGAGAATCCTCTAGCACTAATCGCGATCTGGAATACTAGCATATTATAGCAACCGGGATAGAAAAAAACACTGGACCCGGTAAAGACGTAGTGCCCAGAATGCTGCAATATCTGTACTGCTTATCGTGACTTGTGACAGAAAAGACTGAGAGTACCCGGGTATTGGCAGGGTTGCCGGAGCAGACGCGGCCACGACTGCTCGAACTGGCTTGCTTTGTGGGCCGTAACCCAGGTTGGAAAGTCTCACAGGTTTTTTGCAAGAGATGATAGACAGTCTGCGCGGTTATGATGGCTAAGAAAAAAGCAATAAAACGGGGAGCTGTGAGAGCCAAGGGCATAATGCTTTGTCCAAGACGGGAAAAACTTTCTATCATAACCCCGCACCGTTTATCTACACTCTCCTCCCTAACCCGTTATCCACCAATGATAGTGCTAACAATACAGTAGATATTTAAAATAGCGGAGGTAGATAGTTATTCTGCTTTAATTTTTGTTCTAGTTGATGATTTCTATTGCCTAGGTTCGCTTGCTGGCTCTTTGCAAGAGATCCCAGAAATCTTGGCGTTGACAGCCCTGAATTGTGCCGGGGTTTCCGGATTCTTCTGCAATGCACAGGAATGATATTCATATTGTGGGTTTTTTTTTCACGAATTTCTTGGTGTATGGGTATGGAATTGTGGGTGGTAGGGAGTTTCTGCA